CATGTTTTGGGGTCTTTTTGGTGGCAATAAAGACTTGATCTCAAGACTAACAAGCCACGCCCAAACAACCAGTCTTAAAGCAGACATCAGGCTCTTCATAACTCCCTGCTACTAGTTCATATGTGGACACCTGAGCAGTAGCTTTTGCCAAACATTCCAAACTACAGAAAAACTAGGCACTTTCCCCAAGTCTGGTGAAACAAAAAAGGTAAATCAAACAGTGTGTTTACTATGCATTTTACTATTGCTTAACATCATCCTGAAATTTCAAGGACTGGAAGATGATGAGAAGCGTAATTAATATTGTCTTACTGACAGTTGGACAAAGTGTTTTTTCACGCCAAGCTGAGACTACAAAATGTGGTCAGTCAGTAAGCTTAACCTATCTTTCAAGGCTAAACAAGGTTACAGCATGCAATGTGGTCTCATGCCCAGGCCAGAACTAATAAGCAATATGCAGCAGTGATTTATGCTACTACAAATAAACACGTAATACTTTGCTCCTATATACCAGAGACATGAGCAAATGAAAGCATGATACCAGCAGTCACTGCAAGTTATTATATCAGAAGGGATCTGAAGTGTCAAAACATAAATGCATAATCAGACTTGCCACGAAATATCCCAAGCACTTCCCAGCCATTTGATTCTCTGTTTAGTCTGAGATATATAGCAAGAACGAAAATTATAAAAATCCTTATCAAAACTTCTAGATTTTGATTGCAATAGAACACTAACAGCTCACTGGACAAATAGAACTATGCTACAAATTAGTACATCAAGTTAAACAATTTACACAGACATCATTCACAACTGGCATAAAACTACACACAACCACAAACTTCATAAATTATGAGCTTGGCATAAAGATGACTACCGGCAACCAGAAGAGCTTCCATTTTGCTTCCCTCCATTTTGTTGTCTGACTATGGAGGTCTCTTACCCAATACTAAATTTTAAAGGAGATGATTTCAGAAACTAAGCTAATAGATAGTGTGGCTGTTACACAACAAATGGAGCAGGGGGAAGAGAACTCTTACAAAGCCTATTAATGCGTAAAGGAAAAGGGAAATCAAAGATAGGGTAAAAGAAAAATCAGCTTCAATAACATCTTATAGTAACTGCAAATTTAAATTGAATTACAACTTATACACATCTGTCCACAAATGATTAAGTGTGGCTGATTTAATTGGAGAAGCTTGGTGCTGAGAAACCTGAACCAACACGTTCACTGGCCAACACACCCACTACTAACTCAAGAGGCTCACGCCACTTCAAAGCTCAACACAGCGATTTCCACCGTCTTCTGCATAGGCCTGGCAAGGGCCAGAGAAGTTCTCCTACAGTTCACTGAAAATTTAAATGGGGGTGATTTTACAGCAGTGCAAGGAAGAGACAAACGTGCCCCCGGTGATATAATTCACCTCACAAGTGAAATGACAGCACAGGCAGAATGAAAAAGAGCAGTTACAGCTAACCACAAGGAAGGTAGCTCCCATGGGAATGAAGTACGACTCTATCCTTCTACAAAGGACCAGGAGAAAGCGCTTCTGAAGAGGACGAATCACTCCAAACAAGTGGATGTTATCAGACCAGATCTCTGGGGAGGAAATTACCCTCAAGTACAAAGACAAAAGCACAGAATACCAGAAAGAGCGAGGAGATCATAAGGAAACCCCAAGAAAAGGAAAACCAAAAAGTGTTATTCAGAAGGATAGGGACAGTGGAACAATACAGGAGCCCTCAAGCCTGGTGAAGAAGGTGATCCTTTAACGGCAAGGAGGAATTGGAGAGTAACACGAGACCCTGAAAGAGGGAAATAAAGACACAGCGCGGGCCAGGCCGCAGAGGAACCAGGACACCTTTCAGGAGGGAGATGCTTAACAAGGGCGTAACACCAGGGAGGTGGGAGCTCCCCAAGACACTACAGCACCTGCAGGACAGCCCCCCAGCCCAAGGACACGAGGCCCTAGAGCAGGACAGCAAGGCAAACCCCAGGGACAGGGCAGCCACCCCCCCCCCACCGGGGGTGCCCCCGAGGCAGGACAGAGCCCAAGCGCCTGCGAGCACAACGCCCCCGCCGAGCCCACAGCCGCCATTTTATCTACCCCGAGGGCGCGGGGGAGCGGGGCGGGGCGAGGGGCGCCAGCCCCGCCCCTCGGCGGCCCCGCCCGCCGGTACCTGCCCGGCGGCTGCGCCCGCGCCCGGCCGCCATTTTACGCGACCCCCAGGGAGAAAGGGGGGGGGGAGCGGCGTTACTGCAGGAGACCTCCTCCTGCAGCCCCGGGAAAGACCAAGCAGTTACCAGAGGAGCGGGTGTTGATAACAACGGAAACAACATCAAAATAGGGAGATTGATAGAACTGCTGTCCGGAGGCTCACGGGAGCGCCGAGAGGTGCCTGGCAGCGGAGGAGGCCTGGCGCTGCCGGCAGCCCGCAGAGCCTGCCCGCCCTCGCTGTGCGTGCGTGCTCTTAGAAAGCTCTGCAACCATCTCCCTTCCTTTATAATCTGGAGTTTCTAGCTGATGTTTATCACGGCCCGTTAGAGCCATTTGTCCTTGTGGCAACCGCGCCAGTGTGTTGCTTCACGTTGTGGAGTTTCTTGCCATGGGAGAACCACGTTGACGAGGGGCTTCCAGCGTTACCCTGTTCGCAGCGAGCTTTTTTCATGTTTCAGCATACCTCAAGAAACAGCATGAATGAACATACCTGTGAAAAGCCTGTTGTCATTTATGTTGCATCATCGCAAGACGATTTCACCGGGAGACCTAGCTTCATGTTCTAAAATTATACATCATCATGAAACCTTCAGACTGATGTGTTTTCATATTGAACTGAAACACTGCAACAGACAATGAATATATTTCAGCAAAATGAGATCGTTCCTTTAAAAACTGACATACAGTTTAATAGGATAATACCTTCTAATTGCCATCACAGTTTTAAATAACATAGTGTTTATGGTGATAAATGATATGATGAGATTGCAAGTGTGCTGTTACAAGATAAAGGCATCAAAGCTCTATGCAACATTGTCTTGTGCCCATGGCCTCAATTTTTGGAGATCTGAGACCCACTTTAGGACCAATAATGGAATGGCTTAATGTAAACCCAGCACACTTAGTTAAAACCTGAATGATACAGGGAAAATACAAAATTTGCAGTAACAGAAAGCTGCTATTGATGTGAATGACAAAATTGTGATATTATGGCTGGCACAGATAGCAGCATGAGCAACCAACAGATACACAAACATCTTCAATGTTTTATGAGGCCTTGAAGGATATTTTCAGACCTGCCAGGCTTGGAGTTTACATGTGAGGATTCCCCATCTGGCACTGAAAGCTATGATAAAGAAAAAAAGAAAATGGCAACATTTTTAACATCTCTCCTAATCATTAATCTCCTCGATGGATTCTTCATTTAATGATGCTGACCATTACATTTTCTTGATACACTGATATTGTGCCCTTCGCACTATGGCAGAAGCTGGGCTCTTCCAGGTCATAATGTATAGAAGGTTAGGAGCCCATATGTAACGGCCCATTATAACAGGACCACTTGAAGGGGTTTATGCACAGATAAACCAGATACCATCAGTGCAGTGTTGTGAATTTACTATACAAGGCCTTGCCAGAGGCCACGTCAAGAGAGGCAAAAATATTTTAATTTTCAATGTGTGATTTTCCTTGTGTTCCACTGTAATTATTACTAGGTACAGAGTATTTCCACACACACGTGTGCAAGGAAATGGCAACAACTGCGTACTCCTATATATGGTTTTGCTGCTATCCTGCAAGTTCCTATCCTTCAGGTGAGATCTCACTGTTCTTCTAATCTAGAGAAAGGTACCTTAATTTCATTGTCAGTTATGTTACTAAGTAAAACTCAAATTATGAGTTGGCTGTGAATGAAAAATAACGTCACACATTTTAATGCAGCAATATCATGATTTTTTCACCAAAGTTGAGTACCCTGACAAGTGTACAGGATTTACAGGCTTACAAGCTTACAAGTCTGTTGCACACTAAATGTATGGATTTGTACCATGGATATATACTGTGTTAATGACAAAAAGACACTTGCTCCCTGCAGAATAGGGGAACTTTACATTCACAGACTCCTCCTGTGCAGTGAAAATAGGTTCAGCTATAAAGAGGTGCTCCTGGCTACCAAAAATTTTCTGGCAGTGGACAAAAGGAAAAACTCTCCACCAGTAGATCCCTTGAGCTCATTGCAGGACTTCTTTCAGCATAGGAAAGCGCTGGCCACTATAGCTTCTCCAGCAGATCATTACTTTCATCTCATTTAAACAGGAATAATTTAATCTCTTCATCAGTGACAAGAATTCGGTTGTACTGCTGCTCTGGGAGGCTCCCCTATTTGCCTGAGCTACAGCTGGTACTTGGCACCCATTGAAAGCGAAGACTTTGGGGCTGTGCAGTCACAGCTTCCCCTCAAGCCTAACTTTTGCCGCCGGGAAAAAACTTGCATTTCTCGTCTTCTGCAAGCGCAGCGTGGAAGGTCTCGCGCATAGGGCGCAACGGAGGCAGGACCCCAGTTTGCCTCCCAGGTCCTGCCCACCAGCTCAGCAGGCCCAGCGCTGCGGGCCGAGGCTGGGAGAGCGCCGGCTCTGCTCCTGGCCGGCTGGGACCGACCGCTCGGGCCGGCTCCCCGGGAGCTCCCTCCCGGCCTGCAGACGCCGCGGGCCGGTGCAGGCCCTTTCGGCCGCCGCGGGGGCCGGCCGTGTCCCCCGGCCGCAGTCCGGGGAGCGGCGGCTCAGCCGCTGCCCTCGGCGCCCCCCCCCCCCCCCCCCCAACCCCGGCCCGGTGCCCGGGAGGCCGCGGCCCGCGCGCAGGGCCCGGCGCCGCGCGCAGCGCCCCTCCCCCCCCGCGGCGCGGCGCGGCGCGGCCGCCCCCGGCTCGGCGCTTGACGGACGGGCCGCCGGGCCAACGGGACGCGGGACACGTGTGTGCGGCAGCCAACGGGGCTCGGCGGGCGGGGCGGGGGCGTGGCCGGCGGCGCTGCGAGCGGCTTGTTGTGCGCGCTGCGGAGCCGTTAGCCTCCCGCTGCACAGGCCTTGCCGAGTCGGCGACAGGTGAGGGCCGGGCCGCCGCGGGCCGCGGGGCGCTGCCCGCCGGGCCCCCGCCGCTGGCCGTGCCGCCGGCGCCGGCGGGAGCGGGCGGCGAGGGCCGCGCCAGCGAGGCCGAGGCCTGGGCCTGCAGGGGGAGAGCTGGGGCCTGCGGGGGGGAGGGGCCAGCCGGAGGGGGAGCGCGGGCCCGGGGCGGCCGGGGCTGGGGCCTGCGGGCCGGGGCTGGGCCCGCGGCGTGCGGGGCCGGCGTGAGGTGGATGGGTCACGGGCGGGGGAGGAGGGGCCTGAGGCCTCCGCTCTCGTGGGCGAGAAGGCCGTGGGTCTCGCTGCCTGAGGCTGCCGCGGCGGGAGCCCGCCCCGCCGCCGGGGTCTGCCCCTCCTCGCGGAGCCTTTCTTCTGGTTAACGTTGTCTTTCGTATTTATTTTGCCTGTGTCTACCCGGACACGGCTTTTAAATCTCCCACCTTCGTTAAGACTGGCGCATCTTTATTGACTGGCAGTATCTGAGGGTGGGCTTCCGAATGTGGTCGATACACGTTAGTATTAATGTAGATTTGGGCCTGCTAGGACCAGGGTTCAGTAAGGCTGTACTAAGTGCTTTTGGCCACAAGAAATGACGACTAAAGTATCAGCCCACTATTGTTAGTAGTCCTCGGAGGCTTTTCAAAGTAGAGCGCTTACCCATTTTTAGTGATTGGAAGAGGCACGAATGTATTAGGGGGCCATTCAGTGGGAGGAGGTGGGCGAAAGGACTGGGTGTAGAGGTAGCCTGGAGAAAGGGCTAGCGAGCTCTGGTGGAATAGTTGTGTGGAGGTGTGTGCTGGCTACCATATTCTGTAATGCTGGGTAGTGGAGTGGCATTATCAGTTGGGCAGAGGCTTATATCTGAGACTTGCTGAGAAGGGAAGAATGTTTTGTTGCGTGAAGGACTTGCACTGGGATCCTGTGATCCCCTTAATGAGGCATCTGTGGAAAACCAGGGAGGAAAGAAATGTGAAGGGTAGAGATTTATTCCCTCTGTCAATGCTCGTTGTTGACATTTGTTTGTTTTTTGTGGTCTCTGTAGTTCTGTTCATTTTTCCTTTTATGCCCTGAATGTAGATGTTAACTGCTCATACTGCTCAGCTCTTACCTCTTTACCAACCTGCTGTTGCTCAGAATTTGTGTTTTAACCACTTTTCTTTCTAGATCTGTGTGAACAGAGTTCTGAGAGTTTTGGATCTCTCTTTAAAACTGGGGCAATGCATATGTTCTATAGGCTTCATCAAGCCCATATCGTTCATATGATTTCTTAGATTTCTGTTTACTCTTGGGTTAGGTCTGTGTTGTATGATAGATAACAGTCCAGATTCCTGAGCCTGTAAGTCTATGCAGCATGATACATTACTCTGTGACTGTCCTAATTTTTGTTCTGGAGCAGTGTAACTGTATTTGTATAATGATGCAAATGAGTCTGTGGTTTCATGATTCAAAGTGTTTAGCAGTCCTGGGTTACAGAACTACGACCTGTGCTTGCAATAGGCTCTCTCCTTGGCTTGACTGGAACATGAGCAGAAACATCTTAAGCTGCTATGGTTGTTAAATATATTGTATAGTGAGTTTATAGCCTTAGTTACTTAGCCCTGATGTGGGTGGTTCTACAGCACCAGATAAATGTGGTTATACTGCTTTCCTATGCGAGTTGTCTTATGCACTATCAGGTTTGTAGGTACAACAGTAGAAAGCACAGTCTAAATGGAAATGTGGATATTGTGTATAGCATCTTTCTTAACTTAATTGTTTGTGTTGAATGTGGCCGGTGTCTAGTGCTGGTGTTAGCTTACCATGCAATGTGCTCTATGCTCCTCATAAAAGCACTCTATTTTCTCTTTGCTGGTTCTTGCATGTTCTGTCACTTTTTTTTCTTCCTGGAAAAAACCCTCCTTGTCTTGACCTGTCAGAGACATGTCATCTTAATTTCAGAATCTTTTTCTTTAAGATGTTGCACCAGCCTCTTTGCTTTCCTGAAGCTTTGGTCTCTGTCTTGTTTCTTGCTTATTTGTTATGAGCCCTCTGTGAATTGATTACAGTAAAACGTTACTAGATGTTGCACTGATTGCATGTCTTGCGGATAAGCTACCTATGAAGGTGGTAGACTTCTAGTTGCAGGAAAACTCAAGCTTGCAATATGTACAGACCTCAAAAAGATGTTAGGAGAATTTGTTCTTTTTGCACTTCCAAGTACTTCAGAAAAAGCATGGAAGGCAGTTGCTAGAGATTCCCACCAATTTAAGCATTTCGGAAGAGTGACATAGTTCAGCAAGTGAGAAGTTTTAAATTTTGCCTTCTATTGGAAATAGATCAGGGCACTTCTTGTTGAAGCGCATGCCTAGGCACCTGTAGGCTTCAAACTCTTGGCCAAAATGATCCTTTTGATTATATAACCTTGTTATACATGATGTATGCAAAATTAGATTTTAACCTGCCCTTTTGCGGGCGTGTGGATAGGGTAGAAATAAACTGTGCTGAGAAGGCAGGGATGTTTTTCTTGTGTGTGGTTTTGCTGATTTTTTTTTATTATTATTATTTTTTTTTTAATATTAGTAGCAGTGGCATAGTAATTATGAATTACAATTTTTCTCTGGTCCACGGCCTCTTTGTATCCTATGAGTAGCAAGTGTCTCAACAAGCCTTTCGAGATGGCTTTCCAGCTACGTGTTTTGTGCTGGTGAACTAGTTAGATGCTGTCTTCTCCTGTTACTTTTGCCTTCCTGTCCCACCAAAGTGAAAGTACCAGCTGCTAATCCAAGGATGAATCCTTGTGTGGGGGCAGCTGTTGCCAGAATGTGTCTGGAGTCTCCGGTTCTTATGTCCATTTCTCACCTACTGCAAGTGTCCTGTGCATAAGGAAAGGAATTATTCCCTCACAAAACAGTTCTTTGTCTCCAGATTTTTTTTGTAGGTGAAAAAATTGCTAGAGCCAATTGCTGACATGGTCTAGAACAAGTAAAAGAATAAGTTTTTTGTTATATCTGTTTATTGTAAACAAATGCCAAATGAATCAAATTGAATAGTGATTTTAAATTTCTCCTGTTTGCTGATTTAAAATATTGCAATTGAGAGGGAGAGGAATTCAGGTGAGACATCTGTGCAGGAGAGAATTTTCACCTTATTGATTACTGTGGGACTAAAAAGATAAATACGGTAACAGGGCAGTTTGGGGGAAGGAATCTGTGATGCCTCACTTTCTGCCTTTACGTTTTCATGTGTAGCTAAACATGCTTCAAAGTTCAGGAAGATGGCCATTCCAACAAAACATAAGATTCATGCTTATAAAATACAGTAGCTGCTAGTCAGCCTAAGCAAGCATAACAAGCAAGAAAAGGTGAGATTAAGATTCTTTCTGTGTGGTCATGGACTTGCTTTTTGGAAGTAGCATCAGACGTCTCTCAAACACAGACACACTACTTTATCTAAATTATTTTTATTTATAAGGTAAAATTAAGCATTATCACCTGCCTTTGCAGGTATGCACAGAAATAATCTGTTGAAAGACTTAAGCATATAGCTCAGATCCAAGCTGAGATTTTGAAGTGTGTGACCTATTCTGTGCATGTACATGCCAATATAACCTTTTATGTTAAACCTAATGTTTTTTCCCCTCATATGCGCTATAAATGTTACTCTTGAATTGAAAAGAGAATCTGTGGATTTTGTGATTTATTGTTTTCTCCCCTTTTACTCAACTGGCTTTTGGTGTTTGATCAAGATTAAAATTCTGTTACTTGAAGTAGTATTGTATGAATGCAGTGTGATTCAAATGGCCATGGGTCTTGCACTGTGGTGTCATTGAGCTGTAGTCAGTATGGATGTCCGTGGAGAGGTCTGTGCTTGTGGGGTGTGATGTGGAGAGCTGTTGGGGACATGAGTTTGTGTAAAGAATAAAAGGGGTTTTCTTGGGGATTATGGCAAAGGATCTGTGGCATAAATGGAGAGATTTTAAGAGAGATACATTCTGTCTGTGGAGCATTTGGAAACTTTTATTTTTTCTGGAAGGCATTTGGAGGTTTTTCAGCTGGTGTGGCTTCTAAGGTAAAACATATTCTGTTCCTTACAGTGATTTCTAAGAAAGCATGTTTGTGTTTCCTCTCCCCCCCATCCCCAAGTCTCTGCCTCTTCTATGTCTTGATTACTCTTGCTTCTCAATCCTGTCTTGACAGCTCGCTGCAAAGCAGGTTTTTGCATGGCAATACTGTGTTGGATCATTCTTGGGAACTGTTTTCCTGAAACAGTTAAAACGAGTGGAGGCTCTTTGCAGGCCCTTCAGGCCCTTCTGTGTGTATGACATTGCTCTTGGCATGTGTTCAAACCTAGATATCTGAGCATCTCTGCATCTGCCTTCTGCAGCTGTGTGGATTGGTTTGACGCTTCCCTTGATGTAGTAGTGTCCATTTTGTTCTATTTCAGGTGTGATCTCCAAGGAGGACTGCTCAGCAGCTTCAAAATTGAGTGGTAGAACAGTGTCCAAGACAGATAGCCAGAGCTGTTGTTTGAGTCAACCATGACGGGGGGGGGGGGGGAAGAGGAGCTTATCAACAAATATCATCCATGTGCTGAAGAAACTGGAGGAGGTGTCATCTTTGTATAGCCCATGCTGATACAAGTTCTGCTGTGGTTTGAGAACCATGCTGTGCTCAGTGTGGCCCATTCCCAGTGTTCCAGTGAAGGTGCCACAGATTCTGTACCACGATACTTTAACACTTTCATTTGTCTCTTTGGGCAAGTGTCAGATATTGGTGTAGTATGTGTGCTTCTGATATCAAAGACAAGAAATATGTTTGAGGTAGCTCTGACCTTGTGTTCCGCACAGCTAATCTCAGTGCTTGCCTGTGAATCTGCAGCGCTACATGGCTTTCACTTTCTGGAGAACTAGATTGCATGAATGAGAATAGGTGAAGTTGCTGGAGGGATAAGACTTGCTGCCTGGATTATAATGAAGGTGCAAATTGCTGGCATGGAGGAGTACA